GACGAGAGGAAAATCACAATTTCTGAGAGGCAACTCATTAAATAATCCTCTTGACCTGGCAACTCGTTTTCCGGGAAAAAACTTGATGACTCTTAGGCTTCCCTCTTTTTTCTTTCCTTTTCTCTACTTTTCTTTTTTTTGCTAGAAGAGGTATCTTTAGAATCATGGATTAGAAAAGTTCCGAATTGACGTCTCATACTCGAAATCGAGCCTCTCTAGGTCCAGGATATGCCGAGTTTCTCTAATTTATTGCGACGGGAAAAGCGAAGAAGATAGTCATCGCGATATCTCGAAAACTTCAGTAAAAAAAAGATGAAGAGGATAATGATGAACCTTCGAGAAAAATTATTTGAATCTTACATCAGAGAAAGAGGGTAACTTACATACACACACATATGTAATATACAGAATAGATAACTTTCTCGGTAATTTAAAAAATTAATTACTATTTCTCAAAACTTTTTAGATTAATTTTCTTTTTTTTAGATTGTAAAACTATAAGCTTAACTGCAAGCCAACTATTCTTCATCAACAATATACATATATATAATTGTCTTGATATTGAAAATATTTTGATACTAACGGTAAGAATTCATACTAATGAATTCTTTCTTTATTGCTCAGTATATAAGAAAGATCAAAATAAACAATAGCACATAACGAAATTACTTAAAATTATGCAATTTTGGCAACTATTTTCCAATAATAAATAATATACCCGTATATTTATCATCTCGATACTCAGAAGATAAACAAATTGAAATAAAATTTTCTATAATTGTCGCCAAAGCTGAATTCGGTCTCGTTTTTCTCATAGAAACGATCCTAACGGCAATTAAGTCTCCTTGGCGTCGAACCAATTACGGTTGCCCTCTTGAGAATGTTCCGGCACGAGTGAGAGAGAGATAGAAATAGAGATGGAGATAGAAATAGAAAAAGAGAAAGACACATTTCCAGAGTCGAGACTTACGTATCTAAGTGTGTTCGTGAGAGAGCAGAGTTTTGCGGTCAGCACGAAACTTTCCTGTCACGGAAATTGTTCGTTAAAGGGAGCTACGAAACCTTCTCTCTCTCTCTCTCTCCCCCCTCACACACACACACACACATACACTCATACTCTCACACGCATACACACACTTTGAACTTACGATAATAATTAGTTTTATTACCTAAAAGCGAAAAGTATCTTGGACTTGGGGAACTTTTAGCTGACTTTAGTTGGTTCCTTTTTCTTTTTTTTTATTTTCTTTTTTTTTTTGGATTTTTTGTTAATATCGAATTTTGGGAACAAAAAAGAAATGTTATATTCATATATAGTGAAATGTTACATAAGAAAAATTTCAAAAGAAACATTCTTATCACTTCGGTCGTTCTTTAGAGTCTTCCTACTTTAAAATGAAATTTTGTTTACCCTAGCAAAACTGCTATACAACACGGTACTCGGAGACAAATGTTAGGTACTAGATATAGGTATATACATATAGGTATATATATATATATATATATATATATATATATATATATATGTATGTATATATATATATCAAAGCTCATTTGCATGGTTATAGGAGTATTTTATACCCCATAGCAACTCCTTAGGAACGACGATCGGTTTTCGCTCTGTGCTTCTTTCCTCAATCCCCCTTCTCACTCTATCTCTCTAAATATTCCCATATATGTATTCTGTTACATTTTTTCATTTGTCTGTCTCCTTTATAGATTCCTTTCTTTCACTTATATTTATGTAAATAGATATCTACATACATATGTATGTATTCTGTAATAAAAAGAGCTTTTTATTATTAGAAAGGTTCCAACATGTTTTCTCTCACGATAAGATATTATCTATATAATATCTACTATTTTCAAGCTATCTTATATTATCTTTATGATCTATCTTTGAAGAATAAATATTATTATCTATATCGAGAATGTATAGTATTGCATAAATACATAAATATATGTATAAATCATTATACTTTTTCCTATAAGACGATATGTGGGATTTGTTTTATAGAAATGATAGGTATTATATATAACAAATTTATAATACAATTTCGTATTATTTATTGTATTTTTAGTTTCAATCTTCGTAAAAATAACTTCATTTTTCAACAATTCAATTTTCAATAAATACGCAATAATATATATTTTTCTCTGTAAAATATAGAACATTAGAAAGATGACATAAAATAGATATAAAAATGACAATTGTCATTAATTATTGTCAGCGAATAATTTCGCCAGAAGCAACTCTCATAAATAATCAAAACTAATCTTCTAGAGGTAATAAACACGATCGTCGCGAAATACGTTTCGTTAATTATATCTATAAAGCTTTAACACCTAGACTTATAATGACGCGATACAATTAAAATGATCGTAGAAACAGGAAATAGGTTTGTTAATAATTTTGGAGAAATGCTTCCTGACTTTTTCCACTTAAGAAAATGTTAGATATTATCTATCTGTTGTACATTGGATAAATCTTGATAATATTGAAGATATTGGCAATATCCATTATCATATCTTTAATATCTTATTGTTTAGTTTCTTGTGAAAAAGATTAATGAAAAGAAACAGTTTCATCGTCATCATAATCTCAAAGGAGCTGATGGTATATATTATAAAAATGAGAAGGTACACTGTTATATCACTTTTCGAAATCGCGTTACATCGTGTTACACAGAGACTATCGGGATGGACCGCATTGCGGAAAGTTAGTTCAGGAACGGATCGACTTAACGATATAATTTTTCATTTTCTAGGACACACACAATTTTCAAACTTTTTCTCGATATGTTTTAAAAACATAAATCTTTTACCGATCGTGAGATTTCGTTAAGTTTTATGGTGAAACGACCGGTGTGAAACAAAAGCTATTCGAATGAAATATGAAGAAAAAAGGAAAATCTTCCAAAGGAAAAAAGAACAGGGGTTAGCAGATTTTTTGAATAATATTATTTCTTGAACTGAATTTGTAAATAACCTAAAGGAAGTTAATTTACGACCAAAACGAGTACAGCTAGCTTCCGAACAAAACGAAACCTTCTTTACTTTCGCCATTCGCATTGCTATGCAAGGATTCTCGAGCTCCAAGAGTTGTTGCATGATTTCTATGCTACACACACACACACACATACACACATACATATATACACATGATATATCTACACAGGTATATCTACACAGATATACCTACTCGCGTGTATGTCGAACATAGTAGGTAACGATGCGATATCCTGTGGGAGGTAAAAGTAGTTAACTTATAGCGTATATTTCCGGTCACGTAACATTTCGACGTTTGCAAAGCTCACTATAATCGAACGGAAAACAAAAGAAGAATGTAAATTCACTAAGAACATTATTTAATATTATCATATAAATTTACAATTGTTATGTCAATTAACGAATAATATTTGATTATCTATAATTGGTGTTCCTCCGTGTAAGGGTATAAGAGAGAGAAAGAGTTATAGGTAATTGACAAAAGCAGGGATAGAAGAGACAAACACCCTTTCAAATTCTTCTTATCGACCTTGTCACGCTCGCTACATAATCTTGCACGCAAATTCTTTGAGAAATTTATCGGCCATCGTGATTAAAAGTGACATTGAGGTGGACAACGTATACGCTCAAGAAATTGGGCCACCCACGATTTATTGATTTTACGAGCGTTGGTCCTCGGTCAAATTTTTTTTTCCCCCTCCCGCTCCTCTCCCACTCTCGTAAAAAGTCAATATTTCCGAATCAACATTTCAGACAGAGTAAATACGATTGTTTGGCGGATTATCCTTGGACGAGAAAAGTTTCTACGAAACTTTTAGACGAACGAAACTTTGAGATAACATTTCTTAGGGTACCTAATTTAATAATGATCCCTCGATGAAAGTATGATCAAAGGATACGTTTTTAAAATTTATTTTTAAATGAGAAAACAAAAAATTTAATTAATTCGTTTAAATACCGTCTATTGTCAAAAGAATCCTGCATAGACTTTTGATTGAATTTCTGTTTCTCTCTCTTTCTACCTTCTTCTTTCTACATATACCTTAACCACAGTTATCGATTGTCTTTCTCGATAATATCCACGAAGAGAAAAGACTGGTCATCTCGAAACGAATTGAATTTATCGATGAACCGATGGACTGCATTGCGGTGACTTTTCCAACGCAACAGAACTATTCCATTGGATTGGAAGGAGTGCTGCCAAGGGCTCGTTTCGACCACTTCGCTCTTTGGGAAAGCAAACGCCGCGTTCGAATGATTAACTCTTTTCACTCTCTCTCTCTCTCTCTCTCTCTCTCTCTCTCTCTCTCTCTCTCTCTCTCTCTCTCTCTCTCTCTCTCTCTCTCTCTCTCTCTCTATCTTTATCGTCCACCTTTAGCTCTGAATTCTATCGAGAGAAATTCTTTCCAAGATGTTTCCTATCATTTCTTCCTATAAATTTTTTCTCCCTTTTCCCTCTTCCCCTTTCCGTGTATATAGATATATTGCATTTGATCTTTTACAATGTCATATGCGCGCGTAATTCTCAATTTACGAAGTCGTATTTTTGTAGTCTTTATATCTTTCACCGAATATATTATAATTATACTATTAATATTGTAGCATTATAGCATAATTTATATGATATACTATTATACTAGTATATAACATTTTTTTTATATAAACGATAAGAAATTAGAATTACAAAGAGTTTTTAATTAACGGTGATTGAATCTTCCATTTCGATGCAATAAGGATTTGTTTCATTCATTTCAATCGCGATACTCCCTCGAGTTTTTGGATTTTTATATCCAACTCGCGTCCCATTAGATTTATAGAGAAAATCCGTTAGCTCGATAAATCAAAGTACTTGATCGTTGATACGCAAGGACACACTCTGTGTTTGGCGCTCGCGATAGTTCTTTTATTCGGAATTTTTCTCTTTCTATCTCTGTCTCACTTTTAACATAAAACTAAATCATGATTCTTCATTTTTCTTTATTTTGTTTCAGTCACCGAGAAGGAGATTCGGCAGTGGTAAGTTTGACAAATAAATTCTCAATAAATCGATAAAAAAATTTTTAACGCGAATTGAAACGCAAATTTATATTATATTACTATAATAAACTATTATAGTACTTTTTATCCATCATCGATTTCATTTAATTCTTCCCAGGCACAAAGGATTTCTCAAGGATTGTCCAGACGGTCTATTAACTGAAGAGGTAAATGATCAATGTGCAATTTCATGAGAATTAATGTAAATTTTGTCGATTACTTTAGCGTCACTAAAAAACAAAAAGGAATAAATAAATGAAAAATAAAAAAAATCGTGAAATTACGTAGGCATGCGTAACATACGGAACATTTACGTTCGAAATAGTTTTTATGCAGGAATCTACAGATTTTCCCTTCTTTCGATTTCAGGGTTTTATTAAGATCTATAAGCAGTTCTTTCCCCAAGGTGATCCTTCCAAGTTTGCCTCGCTAGTCTTCAGGGTATTCGATGAGAACAGCGTGAGTGTCAGCAAAGTATAATATAAGGGATGTCTCGCATCTTGACTTTGATATAAAATCATTAGAGTTTCAGTCACAAACGTGATTTCCCGTCTATGGAAAAGTACTTTTCAATTATAATTTCAACTTGTTCGATATCGTTTCGAGTCAATTTACGTACATATGTATGTAAAATGACGATGATAAAGGGATAAAAAAATGAAAGCTCTTAATAAGTATGACATTTCTTTTAGGATGGCACGATAGAATTTGAAGAATTCATAAGAGCTCTCTCTGTTACGTCACGAGGAAAATTGGACGAGAAGCTGCATTGTAAGTAACAAGTGAATAAATAGAAAATGGGGGATCCTTTTCTCGAGGAAATAAACTTTATCCTTGTGAGATAAAAGAGAAAAGATTTTCTTCATTTCTGACAAAAAAAAAAAAAAAGAAGAAAAAATAAACTCTTGTATAAGGTTTAATACTTCATAACGACCTGTTACTTTCAAATTATTTTTCAATCTTATTACATTTTATTGTGTCATCAATTTGTATTGTATTTATAATATAAATATATATATATATGTATTTATAATATAAATATATATATATATCTCACGCATTGGATACATAATTTATTTATAGACACGATAAAATGATTGAATGATTTTCGATGAAAATGATTATTTCTTTCGCACGTGTTTCTACATATACATATATATATATATATATATATATATATAAACGGCTCTCACGCATTGGATACATAATTTATTTATAGACACGATAAAATGATTGAATGATTTTCGATGAAAATGATTATTTCTTTCGCACGTGTTTCTACATATACATATATATATATATAAACGGCTCTCACGCATTGGATACATAATTTATTTATAGATACGATAAAGTGATTGAATGATTTTCGATGAAAATGATTATTTCTTTCGCACGTGTTTCTACATATATATATATATATATATATATATATATATATATATATATATATATATATATATTTCTTTAAAATATCATCTCGATTTCTCTACTCGTTTTACAGGGGCCTTTCGATTGTACGACGTTGACGACGACGGTTTTATCACGAGAGAGGAAATGTATGATATCGTCGATGCGATATATCAAATGGTGGTGAGTACCAAGCTCAAAGTAAAAACGACTGCTTGTTTGCAAAAAAACTGAGGAAAAAAGGCATTATATACTTCATGGCAGAACGAGATAAAATGTTTTATCGTCTATTTCTTGTTCCTTTCGTTACTCGTATAGCCAATGGTAATCGTTACAATTTTTCTGACTCTATGTATACAAACACACACACACAAATATATATATATATACACGCATATACAATGTATGTACATGTGTGTGCATTCAGTTTAGATACTCACTTTCTCAAATCAAATAAATTTTCCCAAATTTTTACAAGCATGTTCAGAACCGAAGAAAAAAATGTTTTCTATTTTTTATCTGCGTCTGTTCAATTCTTATCGCAGTACAAAAATGCAGTTTATTTTTTTTTTGTTTTTCTTATAAAAAAAGATAATGCATATTAAAACAGATAATGCATTTATTACGCTATGCATTCTTGTATCTTTGACCTATCCTTACTACGTTTGATCTAAAACACTTTATTCGCATATTAAATTTCACAATATTGAATAAACTTTTATACAAAAAAAAACAAGCTTTTAGTCAACATTATTCGTAAAAAGTAATTATATAATTGCGTTAATATTATTAAAAAATAAAAATCTAAAATTTGTCATTTTTTTATGGGTTCGGTATAGCTTTTCTGTATTTCTTAAGGTATCTCCTTTTTTTTTTTTTAAATCAAGTCGAAACGTCGAGAGGTCGAACTCGGAATTGAGAATCGAGCTATTTGTGGAAATTCTAGAGCGAAATGTTATCGCGACGACGAGTGGCCCGATCGATCGCGTTCCGACGAATCGAGACGGGTCCAAAGAGAAAAGAGAGAAAGAGAGAGAGGGAGAGAGAGAGAAAGAGAAGTTAATTGAGCCTCGCAAGCTTCTCCATAGAAGACTCGATGAGACCAAGATGATTAGACGAACGACCATCTTGCTTTACTAGAATTATTATTTTTTAACGAACTTTTAACATCGTAACTTGTTTGAAAATATTTCTATTTCGAAATTATAACGTGAAAAATATTTTTCAAAGAAATTTTCAAATTTTCATAAATCCCAATATATCTATAGCAAACATTATTAAACGTTTTGAATGATCTAAAGCGGATGAAACAAACTGAAAAAATGGCAATCAAAGGTAAAAAGTTATAAAATCTACGTGTATATTCATTGACGTAGTCATTGTTCAACGTGGCCCTCTTTAACGGGAAGTTACGTCGTGCAACTCGGCCATGATCTGCATTTTAATTTTAAAGGGAATAGTATGAAGCAAGAATCGTTGAAATTATATCGCATAATCGTGAAAGCCCATAATTACGTCGGTAGCGTAACGTTGAATTCGACGTAATACAAATTCAATTTCTTCGTTCGATTTATTTTCATTTTATCCACGAGTCACTTTCTCTCCCTCTCTCTCTCTCTCTACTTGAAATAAAATTGACCTGTAATTAGGTAAAATCAAAAGCTCGTCTCTTTGTCCTTGAACATTGGCGCAACGCTTTTTCTCTCTGTTTTCAATTTTCACTCTTTGGAGTAGTTAAATTTTATACGTATGGCAGAAATTGTACGTAAATGATGAACATGTATATTATCGTAATGAATCGGTCTTTTGATTAATTACATTCTGAAAAGAGTACGATTTAATCTTTCTCTCGAAATTTCTCTGAAAAATAAAACGAGATATTTATAAAGATATTATCTAGAAAAAAAAAAAAGATAAATGTAACGCAAGAAGATTTAGCAAAAATTAATGTTTTGCAAAACGTAAGAGAAGGAAAGGAAAAAAAAAAGAAATATATGTATATATATATACAGAAAAAAATCCGTGTTATTTTTTAGGGACAACAACCACAAGCAGAAGACGAGAACACGCCGCAGAAAAGGGTGGACAAAATATTCGATCAAATGGACAAGAATCACGACAATAAGCTTACCCTTGAAGAATTTCGAGAGGGTAGCAAAGCGGACCCACGAATCGTCCAAGCTTTATCATTGGGCGGCGAGTAACCGTTCGCTAAAAGTTATTACAAGGAACGACAGACGAGATCCTTCGATCTTCTATTCGTGTCGAGAGATTACGTCGTCGTCGATTTGATTTATCCAAATCCGTGGAAAGGAAGAGCGGAGACGAGAGAATATAGCGTCGCGCATCACGGGGAAAGATAATCGAAATGAAAAGAAGAAAAAAATAAGAGAAGAATATCGAGGGAAAGGTAAAAAAAAAAAAAGAAAAAAAAAAGAAAAAAAAAGAAAAAAGGGACGGAAAGAGAAAGAAGACAAAAACAAAAAAAAAAGTAATACGAAGAAGAAATGAGATGGAGTGCCCAAAAGATATTTATCAACGATCATCCAGTTCGCGTCCCAGTATTTTTCCCGATCCTCGGCTTTGTTCGCTTTGTTGATTGATACGTTTGGGAAATCACAATGATGCTTAAAATAAGTGTCAGCGTGTATTAGAGAAAGAAAAAAGGAAGAAGAAGAAAAAGAAGAAGAAGATGAGGGAGTAAAAGAATAACAAAAATGTTCGTTGCGTATCCTTCGAGAGAAATAATATGGAATATATATGTCGAGGCTTAAAAAATATTAAAGCTTTCTTCGCGGAAAGAAAAACGATGATATTTTCATCGTTGTGTGGAATATTATCGGCTAAACCGCTTTTCTTCCTTCGTTTAATCGCGCGAACATGCACTAGATCGTGAAATGAAATGTGTGAAAGAAGGAAGGAAGGAAAGTCGAGGGAAATATCGCGAATGTAAGGGAGGATTAGCTGGGGGAAAAGAAGGGAGGGAAACCGTGCCTTCTCATCGATCCTCGTCTTTATCGGTTATAACGTTCTCAGCGTGTCGTGGAATATGCGCGTCGAACGAATGCGTACTTTTATCGAGGAAGAAAAGAAGAGAAAAAAAAAGGAGAAAAGAAAAGGTAGAAAGTAAGAAAGAAAGAAAAAGAGGGAGGGAGGGAGGGGGTAAATAGAGGTAGTCGAGAAGGAAACGAAAAGGGCATTTAAAGATAGCAATAAAAGAGAACAAAATTTACAAACGAAAGCTTTTCTTCAAATTCGCGTGTATTCGTCGAATAAAAGAAGGAAAAGGAAGAGGGAAAGAAGGATCGTAGAAAGTTGAATTTTTCAAGGACGAGGATCGCAACCAAGCGGTCTCGTCTGTTTTACATATTTGTGTCTACCACGATGAACAGAAAGTTTCTTCCTTTTTTTCCTTTTCCTCCTTTTTCTTTTTTTCCTTTTTTTTCTATTTCTTTTTTCTTTTTTTAATGACGCAAAGGATCGTTGGTGAGTCCTAAAAAATTGAAAAATTACATTTTGATCTGTCAGTGGCATCTTACTGTTACACACTAAACGATTATCAATTATTATTATTATTATTATTACTATTATTATTATTATTATTATTATTATTATTATTATTATTATTATTATTATTATTATTATCGTTATCTAACAGCTATCTATATAATACCGTTATATTATATTATTACTGTTTACATGGCTGATCTCTCTAAAATCTTCTGTCTAACGCGTTCTTATGGAAAAAAAAAGAAACTATATTTCCTTGAAAGAATATTTTAGAAAAAAAATCTTTTCAAACGAATAATAGAAATTAGTAGTTTATGTACCTATCTATCTATCTATCTATCTATCTATCTATCTATCTATCTATCTATCTATCTATCTATCTATCTATCTATACATATATCTGTAAATGTAGGAAATAATCTCTGAAATGTAGGGGAAAATTTAAATCGATTTTCAACGTGACGTATTCAAGCACCGCGTATAATTTTATTCTCCGTTTCGTAATTGGATATCTCTGACTGTCGAGTTCGACGATGCATGAACACTTTCTGATACCAATACGACGATTTTATCTCACCAAATGCAATACAGTCCAGCTCTTGTCGTTATTTACCTAATGTTAGATATACCTATATACGTATATACCAACGGTATCGTATCGTTGGTAAAAAGGGTGGAAAAGTAAAGTACTATCTTCGATTATTGGAAAAACTTAACGCCCAAGTGACGTAATTTAAAGATACTCCAAGATTTCTGTCTACGGTTCAATCCGAGTAGTCTATCCTAAGATAGAAACGATGATTCTTACAGATTTGGAAAGTTGCCCGCGTTCGCACTGGGATGTCCCACCACAAATCCTTCTAAATTATAAATGTGTTAGGTGAGGAACTTTTTGATAAATCGAAAATATGATAGTAAGTTATAATTTGCAATTTTTTTTTCTCCTCTTACTCGAGGGAATTAACTAGACGCAATCTTTACTCTTCTTCTTCTTCTTTTATTCATCTTATTATTTTTATTAAACATTATTTTCGTAAACAGTAATCTCCGAAAGTATTACCAAGAACTTGATTGCATTCAATTATTCAAGATAAACTTACGCGTTGGGAAAAATAAAATAACGTATATTTCTTTTTTCGCGTTAACTAATCTATAGATTTCGGAGAATTTTCGGCGTGCCAAAAACTCTACTTCTTTTTCCTTTTTTTTTCTTTTTTTTTTTTCTTTTCATATCATCGATATTCAAAAAAACTTCGATCATGAAAACTTTCCGAAAGGCAAATCCGAATAGATTTAAATCGCACCTTCGTCTTTACATCTTGAACGATCGAGGAAGATCGATTTACGAGGATTCGTAGAATTTTCTTTCCTTCTCCTATTCTCCGATTTCATTTCTCCTCTTTCTCTCTTCCATCCGACGTTATTTCCTTTTCCTCTGTAAAATGAACTTTCGAAAGGAACTCGGAGACTTCGGCTACGCTTTTAAAACTCTGTAAAAAGTATAAAAATATCTTTCAACGCGAAACTCGTTCGTTTATCGTGCGCGCAAATTCTTCAGCATAGCTAAAGAAACGAGGAAGCTTCGCTGTGAGAATTAAAATTTGACTCAGGAAAGAAGTTCTTCTTTATGAAGAATTTTATCAAAACTGAAGAGAAAAAAAAACAAGAAAAACCACGAAGGAAAAAAAGTTCGAGAAAGAGTAGGCTAAATTTTTTTCGAACGAATTTCGAATTTTCTCTTTCTCCTTCCCTTCCTCCCTCTTTCTCTCTCTCTCCCTTCCTCCCTCTTTCTCTCTCTCTCTCTTTCTCTCTCTTTGTCTCTTCTCCTTTCTCTTTCTCTCTTTCTCTTGCTTTGAAAATTAAAGCCTTCTTGTTTCTTTTGTCATTTTTTCTTGTTTTTGCTTAGCCCGGCAGAAAAACCGCAATCGCATCGATATTGGCAAATTTCCCACGAAATACTTTTTACCTTGGCAGCATTCAACGAGATTACGTTAGCAAATATTATCTGACGAATTTCCACACTTTTTGTACATTTTTTTCTCTCTCTCTCTCTCTCTCTCTCTCTTTCTCTCTCCTTCTCTCTTTTTCTTTCTCTTTTTACTTTATCTCGCCGATTTTATTCTTCTACGACTGTCTACGGTCTTAGGCATAAAAATAGAAAGAAAAGAAAAATTAAAAAATAAGAATCTCGTCGCATGAAATGGTTAAGAACGAGAAATCTGTGCTTATTAGCAATTACGGTTAAGTTAAAAAAAAGCACGCAGCTCAATGTGTTTCACGTATATAAATGCATATAAACTTATATATATATATATATTTTTATCACTTACAGGATTACTAGATATAGAAATAATGCAAGAGTTTATTAATTAAATACTAAGAACTTCGATTTATTGTAGAATTTTTACCGGCAAATCAAACAGTTTTTCTAGTTCCATATCTAATATCTTGCCTGCTTCTAATAATAATTGTTCGCTACATCTTTAGGTTTATTTTCTACACAAAAGATATACTTCAAAAGGCCTGTGCTGTGTATTTCTGTAATCGTTAAAAGAGACGAAATGCAACGATGACAGACATTTTTTATCGATCGAATGAAAAATATTGTCTGTTTGGGCAGGAAGATACATTTTAACTTAGGAAAGATGAATGAGATACAAGAATTAAGAATCGTAGCAATAATAACAGTAAAAAGAAAAAAAAAAAGAAAAAGACAAAAACTTTGAATGCAGTCGTTTAAGTGTTTTAATAAAATAAGAAACGAAGAACAATCTCGATCATTTCGAAACGAATGAGATTTCACGATTACCTACGTTTCGAGTGATTCATCTAAAACCAAAGAAATGAAATAAAAAATTTTCAAATTTTACGCCGAGATCGTAAGATAATCTCGAAAGATAAGCAGAGAGGGGGAGAGAGAGAGAGAGAGAGACAGACAGAGAGAAATATACATACGAATGAAAATACAGGGGTGAGGGTGAAAAGTTTCTAGATGAATTCGAAAAATCAAATTACACTCTTTTCCGAAACTTTTTAGGCTAATTTCCTTTTTTTTTCAGATTGTACAACTGTCACAGGAACTTTTGGTCCACCCTGTAGAATCGATTTCTTAGGTATATTACGTAAATAAGGTATTCTTTTACCAACTGCCAGAAAAAGAGAGAAAAAAAAAGTAAAAACGAGTGAACGAGCGAACGTGCTGTTATATGTATATTTTTCTATCTCGTTTCTATTATACAGGGTGATTCAATGACTTTGTTACGTACTTTTAAACATCTCGTTTGATAATTACTACATAATAGAACGCGATGTGTGTTATCAAAATGCTTTCTCCAACCATAGATTTTAATCTAAGGTGTTGTGGTAAATTATTGTTTTGTTTTTAATGTAAACTTTTCTTTTTGAACGTTTTTGGAGTATGTCACGTTCTGTAATTAACAAACGAAATGAATTCCTATATGAACAGTCGTTCATAATGATCTCCTCTATCGGCCTTAAAAGTTTTTAAAAGAAAATCACAGAATCACCCTGTATATTCTCTTCGTTGACGCTATATAAATCGATTCACACGTCGTCGCCGTCGAGCATCGCCGTCATATCGCAAATTTTCTTTTCTCAAGTGCAAAAACAAAAGAAAGGAAAAGAAAAAAAAAATAAAGAAAAGTATAGTAAAGGCACGTTCGTTTTGGATCACCTTCTTCGTCGTCGTCATTGTCTCTTTCTATCGTATTGTATCTCTCGTCCTTGTCTTTTACGATCTACTGCGTGTGACCTTTTTGTATCCTTCGTTTATCGTCGACTTTTAAAGGATCGATATATAGCGAGAAGAAACTGGAGACGATACTCTCGATCGACGAAACTCTATATGTGTATGTATAAAGCGTGAACGAAATCGAGGGAGTCGTCGACCTTTTAACGATGAGAAGAATGATACGAACAAAAAAAAATGAAAAATTAAAAAAAAAAAACGATATATATGTATAAAGAAACGGCGATAAAAATAATAAGAAAAAAAAGGAAGATTACTCGAATCCATTTTTCTTACGATTTTCAATGGGAATACAAGTAAGAGAATTGACAACTATGTCACGCTTAGTTGAACAAAGAAAAAGAACAAAAAAAAAACAAATAAAAAAGAAAACTCGTAGACGCTTTTCGTGTTAAAACTTCCTCATACGTGTTTTAAATCGATCTCGCCCATTATCTATCTCTATCTCTCCATCTATATCCTTCTCTCTATTTTGCACGATTTTCCTTCTCGCTCTTACCCATGTCTCTCTTAGAAATAATTAAACGCGCAAAGAAAATGGAAAAACATAGAAACCAAGCTGAATTTTAAAAAATGTTTTTTTCTAAAGAAATTTTTTATCCCTCTTCTCTCTCTCTCTCTCTCTCCTTCTCTCTCTCTCTCTCTCTCTCTCTCTCTCTCTCTCTCTCTCACTCTTTCTGTCTTTCACTTTCTCTCTTTCATCCTCATGTTCCTCATCCGCCCCAAAAAAAAATACTAATTGAAATAATTAATATGTTCAAAGAACGAGATTCTAAGCAAAAGAAAGAGAGAAATTTACAATCTGTTACGTAGACCTGATTCTCTTTTTACTCCTTTAACATCTCCCTCGATTTCCCTTTGATATCCTCGAAAGGGAACATCGATTATTCGAGTTACTCGTGAAAGAAAAGTTTTATCTTTTAATGAAAACATTGAGAAAAGCGAATTTCAGAGATGGAAAGGGTTCGTTTCAAAAGTATTAACTTTTTTTATATTTTGCTTTAGATACCAAACTTGTTTCAGAGTTTACTACTCGTTTTATTTACTTTGAAATTACTATTGAAATATTTATTTTAATATTTTGAAAAATACATTTTTATATTTATCTTTAATATTATATATTAATTTTATCAAATATAGAAAAAGATTTTATTTGCAATTTCGTAAATCTTTTCATCATTTAAGACCAAGCAGTTAAATCAAAGATAAACGACTTTCCGTGTTTCTTCATGGATTATTTATTTTTATTTCGAGCATGAACCAAACGAAAACTTTT